TTTGTTTAGAGAAAAGAGCAGTTTAATGGCTCTTTTTGGAGCATTTCTATGAAGCAAGCATTCTCAAAAAACGCATGTAAGCCATACAAACAGGTATGAAAAATGAGCAGATTTTGAGGATGTATGTTATTTTAATTAATGTGACAAAGAGAGGAAAAAGAAGTGGAGGAGGGGGGAGGGAGCAGCAGGAGCAGTCGATGGGCTTTTTTCCCGAGCAACCAACCACACATGGTTCCCAGCAGCAGTAGCTTTAATGCATTCGGTATAATGTAGGGAGGAGAGGTGGGAAGGTAAAAAGGGAGAAAAAGTAGCAAATGTAGTAAAGCAGAGCCATTATATGATCCGAGCCTCTCACTTAGCTCAGGCCTGTGTGCATTTCATTGCAATATCCCTTCATTGAACGAGCACGGCCGACAGAAAGGCACCGCCCAAGGAGCAGGCGATTTGGACTCGACTCAGAAGGGGAAAAAAGGCACTGAGCTGTCGATGAACTGGCGACAAGACAATACAGATATTAAGCATTACTTTTCTATGGTGTTTAATTGTAATATCAAGCCGGTGTAACCACAGATTTACAGCCAACACAGTCGAGATTGCGGGGCGCGCCTTTACGCAAACAGAGCAGTGGTAACACACTATTCATATAGTCATAATTATTATCTTTCTTTTTTTGAATGGACTTACCGATTTCATAGCAGCTGCCATATCATCATACCTCTCCGCCTGTTCAGCCAGCCTGGCTTTCTGCACCAGCTGCTCGCGATCAACCATGTTTTAAATGATATTTGGTTGCTGTGTCGAGCTGCTCTACTTGGGTTTTGGGGATGAAATGATTGATATTTTAAATCGCAATGCAGTGAAATCCTACGCGAACCTAATGCTGCAGCTGTTCCCTGCTGTCTGTCTGTGCTCCGTGCAGACGGGACACCCTCTCCACTCTCCCTCCCTCCCTTACCCTTCCTCCTCCTCCTCCTCCTCCTCCTCACACACTCTCTCTCCCTCGGCTGCGTCATCACTCAGAAAGGTGGGTGTCTGTGCCAGTGATGTAACACTCCATACATGGGAACCAGAGGGCCACCATAGGAACGGATAGATGGGAGCAGCTGGGCTAAAGGCCTTGTGGGAAATGGAGTCCACTGGAGGCAGAGGCCTTTACCAACTGAATGATGATGAGTGGGTGTAGGTGTGACACAGCATCTTACTATGAAGGCTGCTGGTGGAGCAGGGGGTTAAAGCACAATGGTCACCATTTGATTTCAACCTCATAATGAAACTTTTTTGATAGCCCCTGGGCCCATATTGAGGTGAGCGAGTCCTAAACAGAGTTGGCATAAAATCACTGTTTGACATAGTCTAAAGTCCACATATCTCAGTCAATCTGGACCGAATACACAATTAAATTTGGACAATGGACATAATTTCAATGCAACCCAGATCCAGTAGCAAAGGAAGTATTCAGGTAATTTACTTTAGTAGCAATACCATACCACTGTAAAAGTTCTGCATTCAAAATTTCACTTAAGTAAAAGAACAAAATATTAGCAACAAAATGTACTTCAAGTACCCAACGTAGGCTACTTGTAATGCAGATTTACTACTTTCAGTGTTGTATTATTATTATATATAATATTATAATATATATATATATATATGTTATTGGATCATTATTATTGATGTGTTAATATGTATGCAGTTTACAAGCCGCTGCACGGCATATACCACAGACAAATAGAAGAAATGGCTGATATCAAGAAATCCTAACAGTGGCTGGAAAAGGCCGGACTGAAGGACAGCACAGAAGCACTAATCATGGCGGCAATAGAACAGGCACTCAGTACAAGATCAATAGAGGCTGGGGTCTACCACACCAGACAGGACCCCAGGTGCAGACTGTGCAAGGATGCCCCTGAGACAGTACAGCACACAACAGCAGGGTGTAAAGATGCAGGCAGGAAGGGCGTACTTGGAACGCCATAACCAGGTAGCTGGTATAGTATACAGGAACATCTGCCATGAGTATGGGCTGGAAGTCCCAAGGTCAAAATGGAAGACACCTCCTAAGACAGTTGAGAATGACCGAGCTAAGATCCTGTGGGACTTCAAGACCCAGACTGACAAACTGGTAATAGCTAACCAACCAAACATCGTGTTGATCGACAAACAGCAGAAGAAGGCTGCAGTGATAGATGTTGCAATCCCAAGCGACAGCAACATCAAGCAGAAGGAACACGAGAAGCTTGGGAAATACCAAGGGCTGAAAGAGGAGCTAGAAAAGATGTGGAAAGTAAGAGGAACAGTGGTGCCAGTGGTAATCGGAGCAGTGGGGACTGTGACCCCCAAACTGGGAGAGTGGCTACAGCAGATTCCAGGTAAAACATCAGAGGTCTCTGTCGAGAGGAATGTCCAAGGAGCAGAACCTTCAAACCGCCCCCCCAGGGGTGAGAGGGGGAACTTTTATATATATATATATATATATATATATGAAGCTGGCAGTGCCTGTTGAGCCGTGAGTACTGTCTGCTAGTCTTCCTCTCCCCCAACAACCTTTATTGTTAAGGTAGGGCAGCCTGTATGTAGCATGAGAGGCAAACCCAGGACAAATAAAATTTGAAAAGCACTTGATGCTGCTCGTTAAGATAATTGCTTTGAGCGCGCTGTAATAACTGAAGGCAACTAACAAAATTATTAGCAACTCTGATCTACTCTCATCTGGCCTATGGCGCCTGGACAGTAAGATGAATTAGTTAAAAGATAATTAAGTAAGAAAATCAACCAGAAACAATCAAAGTGAGGGGGACATGTCCCCCTAACACAAGTGTAAATTACACCCTTGGGCCAGTACTGTGCAGGGTTTTTTCACTGTACATGCTTATAACTAGAGTGAACTTCAGTCCTCAAGAGCATACATTGTAAGAAGCTGCTGCCTTGTGGGAGAGGTTCTAATGGGCACTTATTGTATCTGGGGAACCTTGGGATACTTTTTAGTATTTTGGGAGCTTCTAGATTATCAGAGGGATTGGATGGTAACGTGTGCTGTTCCTTGTATTGCATTATTTTCTCAAATGCTGCCTATACCTGGCAGGGGTTTTGTCCTTTTCATCACGGGTAGAGTAGTGATAAATCAGATCAACAAGGTTAAGATTGTTTTACTTTTTCCTTCCATTCTCATAATATTTTTTAAGGGAAAGTAATATTTGGTCAGAAGGCTAGATTGAGTTTAAAGACTGGATGATTGTTTACTGTAAGCATAATGCCTCACAGATTCTGATATCCTGAATAGACTGTTGTCAGCATTTCTATCAACATCCCACATTTTGATTTGACATATTGAATCATGACATAATCATTTTTGCATGGTGGCAGGGCTTCACTGGACTGTAATCTGAGATCACAGCATTTCCCCTCCTCAAGGCCAAAATGCTAGTGAGCAAAGGGGAAACTCTGCTGGTGAGGTTAGATTTGTGCAGCTATTTTATAAGCATAGGGAGTGCAGCACATGCTTATCAAAGGTAGCAGTTTTATATCACAGCTTCTTGATATTCAGCACCACACTTAGAGTCACTATTTAATTTGACCAAACTAGCAATGTGAGCTACTCAAGCAGATGAAGAGACTACTGTCACACAGCCCTCTTCTGGTCAAAATGGAAATGAACGTGTCTGAGGATAAGACATCATGTTCTGCAGTGGGATTCTAAAAGTTGAAGATTTTGTTGTTGTTGTGAAAAAGCATCTGAAACCACAGGACTGTCTTTTAAAACATTCATGAATTAAACTGTTCTCTGGTCAGCAGTTTATAAAGGAACACTGACCGAGAACAACCATTCATCGGCATCAACTTTATTTATTCCTATAAGGACAATTGTATATTCAGTAGCAATATATTTTTTTTATGTATAGTACTATATATCCTAATACAATAGATAGGAGAAGAACGAACAAAAACTGTTAATCACAAAACTAAAAACAGGCAAAGGCTATTAGGCTTAAAAACTATATGTGGAATGTATGCAAAATACATTATTGAATATATAAATAAAAGGTACACAAAGTAATGAGGTTGTGCCAAAGCATTAGGAAATGAGGCAAATGACTGAACCTAAATAAAAACTAACTAAAATCTAATTAACAACTAATGGAGGAACACATGCAAGTTAAAACAAATATTAAATGGTTAATTTTTATCAACAGCTCACAATTTATAAAATTCCATTAGCTTATTTGTCAAAGATGAGACTGTGGAGATGTGTTGTAGTGTGATGCCCTGTTTGGGAGAGCACACATGAATGTAACAGTGAACGAGGAGCATGAATAATTCTAAATTTTGAGCTTCTCAGAACATTTCCCATAACATAGTTAATCTAAAAATTGTGAAGGCCAAGAGGTGGGTGTGTGTAAATTAAAATAATACATAAATTGATACATTTGAGAGGGAATAAAACCACCTACATTCTTTTTAGTAGTAGTGTTATGAGAGGTCACCAATTTCCACCTTTCTTTGTTTTTCTCCCGTCCATCTCTCAATACTTTCTCTCTCTCTTTCTCTCTCCCACACACAAACACATGGTGTTGAACCCTTTCTTCCTCTGCAGGAAGAGATTATCACCTGCTGACCTGACCAGAGGTCAAGAGAGGAACTCTTGACTTTCAGTAACGTGTAAACTGGGTCAAGAGGATAGGAGGAGGAGTCAGGCCAAAAAAATAACACTGTCTCTTCACACTTAACCATAGCTTAATGTTTCAAAGACATGAATATTGCACTGATATGGCTTGAAGTGTAGAAGGACATTGAGACGTTTATTTTTTTTGTATTGTGTAGTTTCACCACCTTATCTTGTGCCAAGTAAATGCAGAGGTCAGGCCCATAAGATCAGAGCCTATCCAAAAAAAGTCAGATTTTTATTTATTCTCTCATTTATCCTTCAACTTAATTGTTTTCTAAGAGGATAAATTTATTTCTCCTGAAAAATAAACCGCAAAAATCTACCTTTAAAAACTAATGATTTTTCAGTGCACTTTTGGAAAACCTCTATTTCCATGACACCTTTTCTCAGATATGTATTTATTATATACAATTTAGTAGCATATGACAGACACTAGGAGATCTCTCAGCTGCCACAATTTAGAAGCAGCCTAAAATAACGAGACAGATAACATATTAGTGGTTTCTTTTTAAAGAAAATTTATTTGCATTGCACAGTCTTACAGTGCAACAGGCAGTGCTCAACCAATGTATCTCTACTTGCTTCAAAGAGGATTACTGTGCCTTCTGCTTAGCTTAGTTACTTCAAATTAGGATAAGGGTAAGGAGAGCAGTCTACAGCAGCCATCTGTCTGTGGACAGTCAAGCGCTCACGCTGCTGTAAATGGAGACAAGTCTGGAGTTGGATGTTTTGATATACCCAGATGAAGTAAGGATTGTTACTCCGGAGGAACTCATAGAATGGGAACTTGAGACTGCGAGCCAGGTGTCCATACCCACCGTCCGACTCTTTGTGGCACTTTACCCATATAATCCTGCTGCAATGTCTCCCAACCATGACACGGCTGCAGAGGAGCTGCCTTTTGTACCAGGCCAGATAATCAAGGTAAAAATGTTGTGCTGTCTTCTACTTTAGCAACTTAATGTAAAAATTGTGGATGAAAAATCCTGTACAACTTTTTTTATTGTTCTCTTCAAGTGCATTGGCATGGACGACTCATACTGTATGCTTGAGTTGTATTTCCTCACATCATCAGTTGAAAAACTTCTTTGAAAGAACATGGTGTTTCCTGTTTGTGTGTACAAAGATATGAGCTTTTCTTCTATATTTCCTGTCACCATTTCCATCTGATTGATGCAATTTGCTGCCTTTTTACTTATTCTGTAACTGCTGCAACATGCATATATACACATGCATATTTTCTTCTTCTTCCAAAACTTAAAATAAAGTCATAAAACTAACTCTCTCCATGCATTAGGTGTTTGGAGACAAAGACAATGATGGTTTCTTTCATGGTGAGTCTGGTGGTCTCTCCGGTTATGTACCAAGTAACATGGTGGCTGAAATCCCAGTGGACGACGAGTACCTGAAGCATCTACTCATGCAGCAGGGATTCCTGCCTGTGGACCACACAGGTATAACCTCTGACTCTGCAGGATATTGTGTTTTAACAAGCTGGCAGAACAGTAACGTAGGGGTTACAGGAAGGCTTCTTTGCACTGAGCTGCTCCCTGGGGAGAATGTTTGTAACCGTAGGAAGTTACTGAAGATAAAAAAAGATACTACAACAAATAAGAGGAAGTAAAAGTAATACAGAAATCTTGAGTTCATTGCCAGAAAAATTTATCTTTTAAATAAAGTGAATACAATTCAATGCAGTAGTTTACACATGTATGTAAGCTTTTAAGCAGTTATTTCTTTGAGGTTTGTGCACATTGATTTCTAGCATTAAAGTTGTTTGATTTCAAATTTTTTTATTTTGGCCCACAGATATGTCTCTAACGCCAAGTTTGAGCGACGTAGCCAGCATCCCTGATGATGTGATTGTTCGACGAATGGTGGCCTTATTTGACTATGATCCGTGGGAGAGTTCACCCAACATGGACAGTGAAGTACGCACTATAATGACACATGAACCACTTTATGTTTTAACCACTTTGTACAAGTCCATTCTTATCTATTGTTTCAAATACAACAATGTGGTTTGTGGTAATATTTTCAAAACAATATTTTTATTCTATTTTTGTCTCTCAAAGGTTGAACTTGGTTTTCGTTCAGGAGACATTATATATGTGTTAGGTGAGATGGATCAAGACGGATTTTACTATGTGAGTTTCATCTCTACAATTACAATGATCGGTGCTTAGTTCTTACACTGACTTTTGCACAGAAGTTTAACTGTCATCTCAATTTTAAGGGGGATCTGTGTGGACGACGAGGTTTGGTTCCATCAAACTTCCTGCAGCCACTGCCCTGGGATTAGAAGAAAAGTCCCCGCTCCAGTAGGATGTTTGCTACAAATGCCAAGTCTCAGACACAGTGAGAAATTAGCAGTTTTTATTTTTTTTAAATGGACATTTTTATGTGTCAAAATACATCTTTTTTATTTTTTATGTTATAGACAAGCACTGCGCTGCACTTGCTTTTGATTGCAAAACAATGATTGTCTATGCAAATACTGTAAGCAACTAATTCACCAGTATTGATCAAGATGCAGCAAAGTGAAGAGTTCTCATCATTCAATTCAGATAATTCTTTATTGAAAAATATTAACAAAAATGACAAATCATTTGGTGAAAAAAAATTACAAAGCATGTATATTTTAAAAAACGTAAACAACTCAGCACGGAAGATCTTTAACTCAAGCCAAAATGATACATAAATGCATTACAATATGAACAAATTGTAATCATTTCAATCATTCCTGATGGCAATGGATACATTATTTTAGCCTTAATAATATGCTTCTAGTCTCAGTTTTTTGCAGACCAGTGTATTTACATAGTATGTCCATATTTGCCTTATATCCTCTTTATATATTCATAGTTTTTTCATATGGAGAAAGTATAAGAAATTATATTTTTTTGTTTTTGAGAATTTCAGCAATTCTTATGGAAATGGAAATGCAAGAAACTTAAAATAAACTTGAATTTGTACAATGCTTAACTGCGTGCTTTTGTCTAAAGATCTCAACTACTGGTTTATGATTTTACTATGTTGATTTCAATTCTTATCTATTCTGACAGGCTTTCCATTCACCATTATTCTATCAATTTGCATTAAATGAACACAATACAAGATTAAACGACAAACACAACAGAGAAATTCAGCAGGTTTTCATGACAGGCCTACTAGTTTTAAAATCTTTCACACAATCCGTTGGTTTCTTCTTTACATTTCTCTGCAGCCAACAGTATACTCATCCATAAAGTAGGAAACACTACACTGTGTAGTTAAGTTTAGTAGTGCTTTCTACTTTATGGGTGACAACACTGTACATCAGTAGCTTCTGGTCGCTCCACCGCAAACACTGAAGACATGGCGGGTTGAGTAAAGGCAGGTCTTCACAAATTAAATTTGACACAAAGAACATTCTCTAACATTATTTTATATCTGAGACATATGAAAACAGCTTATCAGTCACATCCACATTGTTTGACAGTAATGTTTCTAAAAATAATGCTGATACAGGACATAAATAAGACATAAAGCAGCAACTTCTGTGTACTTAAGTACAATTTATTTGAAAAAGTACAACAAATAAAAAGCCGCGACAATGAGATTTTTAAATACAGTCACTTGCTGTCAGGGTCTTACCAGCGTTTGGACTCCGAAGAAGAAAGGAAACCCAGAAGTGAATGTGACCTTTTTATTAACCCTGTCTGAGCCACGTGGTTAACACAGGAAAAGCTCTAACAGTCACACACACACACACACACACACACACACACACTATACATGCATGGAAGTGTATGCAGATGTGCACATGCTCATGCGTGCACACACACACACACACACACACACACAACAGTGGTGGGAATATTGCTTGAAACATGTACTTGTAAGTATGTCAACATATGTAAAGGATTATTTGTTGTTACATGTTTAAAATGTGTCCATGTTTCTGAGTCATCTCTCTTTCGGGAGATGTTTTAATTCATTGTATGTATGACCTATCATCTGGAGCAGGTGATTATAGGTCCAACTACTTCATATAGTTTTGTTTAGTCTATTATAACAGTATTTTTTATTTTTTATGTACAATCTTAGTAAAATAACTGTAGCCATCAGATAAATATAGTACAGTGGAAAAATGTTTAATAAAAGTACACACACACACCCATGCAAATTCAAAGCCTACACCCACAAACTTCTGGCAGACTCCGTCGCTGCCAAGTGTGAGCTCATCCCTTTTAAGGACATAGACTATGAGGCGACATCGCTTTACAAAAGAAGTCAGACACTAAAGAAGATACATATTGATCCTAGCGATATTTAGCATAATATGGATGTGTACCAGTTATCTCAGGACAAAATACTCTTAACTCAAATTTCAGTAACTGTTGTGTGAGAATAGGCCTATGCTTTGACTGAAATAACAACATAATGATGAAAGATCAAATTAAATGAAAGGTTTTTAGCAGACTTTTACACTGAGTGAGCTCATTTTGGAGATGTTGGAACTGTTAAATGTTAGTTTGCAAAGAACTATTGCGCTCTTCAGCACTATCCTCAAATATGTCATATACACACAGCAAGTGCAAGTCCGAAATCTTCTGTGTAGATGACAGGAAGAGATTCATATCTCGTTTTTATTTCTGAGAACTCATTCACGCTTGCATGTTTGTGACAATGCGTAGGTGGTGGTTGGTGGTGCAAGGCTCTTCCCTGTCCCAGCAGCAAATGTGCAATATGCTTGCAACAACAGAAACTTCGCAAATAGAAAAGAGACGGGCTTGTGTCCTCTGTTGTCACGACAACCCAAACCTCAGAGTCACACCAAGCAAAATAAGAGGAAGTGGGGGATGGGTGGCGCACACAAACCGAGAAAAGATGTCCTTGAGAAAAAAAAGACTAGCAGACAGTAATGTGTTGTGTAGTAGACAAAACACTGGTTGCAAATGCAGCAACTAACAAAAAGTTGAATCTGCTGCAAGGAATCAGATACTGCAAGCCAAACCCCCCCACACACACACACACACACACACACACACACAAAGGTTGTAATTGTTTGTAATACTGAGTCCACATGTGTCCCAAGAAAACAAAGAATGTAACTCTGCAGCAGGCAAACATGACTGTGCATCCTGCAGATTATCTCAACACTGTTGCGCTAGAGGATGTGTTTGCCTCAGACATCTATTCCGGTGCAATTTGGGATTATATCCAAAGTGATCTCCTTGAGTACTTAGGGTGATATAGATAGCACCAGGGTGCCAAAAACAAGCGCAGCATCTAATGACACCAGTATTATGCTTAGGACAAATTGAATTATGCTTAACCTATGGTGATTGATCTCAGAGAGGGAAGTTAACTTGTGCTGTGTAATAGTGGCTGAGAATGTAACTTTTCATTAGAATGGGTATTGCAATTGTTAAGTCAATCATAACATGTCAGATGTCAGAGTATTAGACTGAACCATGTTTGAACAGGTCTAATTGTGGACAGCAGCTGGAAAAGGCATATATCAAAATAACACAACACACTAAAAGCCACGGTTCCTGTTTCTGTTCAGTCTAACTTAACTTTCTCATTACATCATGGCAGTGGGTTCATTAGCAAGTCACCAAATGAGGAATGAAACTTCCCCATGACTCCTAAAGATAAAAGGATATTCATGCACCTTTTAAAAATCCTGTATGTTATATAGTTTGCAAATGTGCTACCCAGAGTTGAATCCAAGCAGAATCCCAACAGCCATTCAGATTTGCTCTGTGCTGCCACACAGTGGATGTTAGTGGAGATAACAATCTGGAGTGATGTCATTTTAAAGGTGAATGTTCTTTATTTGGATCCCCTTTTGCTTTCACAAAGAGGTCACTAGTTTTCTTGGGATCTACATTTAACAATTTAAAATCACACTGATCAATAATAAAAGAAAAGGCGAAATGAGGCAAATATAAAGATCAGAGAAGAAGTGAAATATCTAAATATGAAAAGGTGGACAATAGAATTTTAGTTTATTAGAAAATGAAAATGCTATTAAAGGGACTCCAAGTCAAGCCAACTCAGAATAGTTACATTTTACTTAAATTAACCCAAATATGTGATGTAATCATGAGAAATTCTTAGCTTTCAACTAATCATAGATTCCATTTGTTTTAAGCCTTAAGCTTATCCTTGATTACTACTTTTCCTGTACTGCAGTCACAACAAACCAAGAAACAAAGCACCCCATGATATCAAGTGCCTTGCAAATTGGGGGCACCCGATGTGTCTGAAGTTCATCTTCTTAATGGTTTGAACGGTTTTAATTTTGATCAGAGAGACCCAAAAAAGCCATCAAAATAAGGATTTCTGGAACATTTTAACCCAAATGCACTGGATGAATGCAAATAAGCTACCCATTACTAAAGAACTTTTTTTTTTTTTTTTTTTAAATGAAGTTAGCAGAACTTCCTTTAGTGGATACAAGACACACATTACCAATAATTGTTATTTATGCTGAAGAATACAAATTTTTTCCTGTGCAATTGGAGCCAATGGAAGGAGCTCTGACACCTGTGTCAAGTACATTACAGTAAACCAAGTAGTACAAAAGACAAAAACAGCATGTACAAATTTATAGTCTCACAAACCCCCTGCCCCTGGTGAAATAAAATAGTTTTACAAAGCAGGAATAAAACATACTTTATTAATTGCACAATATTTTTCAAACAGATGAGACAATACAGTATGCACTGTGGGAAAGTTCAGAGTTCTTATATCTGCAGGACAGGAAGGAAACACTTCAGTATCGCACAAGAGTGTAATAGCAACTATTAGCACCCTAGTCTGTAAATTACTCTGGGTCATCATACATGGCAACTTTCATCTTCAGTGCAGTTTGTAGAAAATTCCAAGCTATGGAGGGGAGCTGTAAAATATACATGAGGTTTTCTTTGAATCTGCACAGAAACTTGCAAACAGTGCATACAGTAGATTACTTTTAAATATCAAGTACATTATATTTCATGTATTTAACAATCAATGGACATAGACAGCAATAATTCTTCATTAAAAAGGTTTAGTAAATAAACAGAGCTTTCACCCTGTAGTGTGCAGGGACAAGGCACTGGATACCAGCACTGACATGAGTAACCCACTGCTAAGCACAGCAACATGGCCTCCTGAGTAATACACCTGCCGTCCATTCAAGGGCTGCACTGGCCTGTAGCTTTTGACCATCTGCGTCCCACTTGCAAACTGAAGTTGGGAGAATGCGGCGAGCTATAACAAAGATGAGATCCCAACAGACAGGTGAAAAAGATTTAGCAGGATGATAAAATGGAAAAGCTGATAAATACACAAGGTAGATGCAGTGGTAAAAGGGTGGGCTGCTCATATTGCATATGAGCTTTCCTATTCAATATCTTTATATTAACAATAGACCATATTACTACATTTACAACCCCGCAGAGCAGAGGTTTTCAAAGTGGGAGGTGGGTCTCAACTTTCAATGGAGGCTCAGTGAATAGAAATGAATAAATATCACATTAATTACCTTAGTAATCAAAAGCACATCACATAAGTCATGCATTCGGGGGGAAAAAAATAAAAAATAAATAATCCCACACACGGAATTTTAGAAACCTGTCTGGGATATAGTCAGTTTCTGTCACGTTAAATGTGAAATCTGAATCTGCATCGTAAAGTATAGCTGTCTGATACTTTTGTTAGCAGAGGAAAATAATAAAGTACTACTGCTGCCTCTGTTATACTTAAGTGTAGATACTTAAGTAAATGGAATTCCTTTCCTCCTCTGGGTAGATGATACAGTACAACAGTGTAGGTTTCGTTTCAGCATTGAAGGGGACACATTTAGTGCTCCACACATTTTGTACCAATTTATGTTGGAAACCTATTTATGTAAAGGTGGAAAAATTTAGGTGACAATTTAAGATAACAGAATATAATGCTCTTAGGTCTATTCTGTATTGCTTTCAGATATGTATTGTCCTGTAGATCAACATTTCTCATTAAATACCATCCCTGCCAAGTCAACACACATGCAGGCATGATTTGTCTTGTGTGCCTTTTATTTAAGGAAGTAATCTCTTTAAATGTGGCACCCATTTACGTCAATGATACATGAATTCATTTTGAATTATTTATAAAGCCCAGAACTTTAATAGCTTTTGTATTTAATCAAGTTTTCTGCTCATGTTCAAAACTTTGTGCACATTCAAAATCTATCCCACATCTGTGTTCTGACATATTGAGAATAAAGTTGTGATATAAGGAGAATAAAGTCATAATACTTTTTTTTTTTTTTTTTTTAAATCTACCTGCCCTATACTCTGCTGTGTATTAGCCGGCATTATTGCACTGCTGATACGGAAGTATCCACTTCAGACCATCTGACAGACACCGAACCCTGTTTGGGAATGAACTAGAAGTGTGCTGCTCTTAATCAAAGCAGGCAGAAATCCCACCACAATTCCACACAAATGTTAACTTCACCTCAAATAAAGTACAGCTAACAGCCTTTTCAGTGTAGGAAACACATTGAGTAGACAGATAGACAACAGTGGTTATATTTAAATGTTTTGATCAAGGTTATTGCTAGGGACAATTCAGTAGTGCTGGAAATTGGTAGGGGTATGTCCTATTACCATCCCTTCTAAATTCTACCTCCTTGCAGTATTATGACAATAGTTACCTGTTTCCTGCTGAGAGGAATGGTGTTCTCAAACAGGCTCCAAACAACAACTTCAGCACAGCTAGGTGTAGTGAGAGAGCCATCATAGCGAAAGTACTTGGTCATATTCTTCTGAGGAGGAATTAACATTTCCAGAGAGACACCCTTCAATGTTGTGCTGTTTGCTGGTTTTAAAAATATTAAAAAGACAATAAAGTTAGCAAGAAATATATCATTAAACAATAAAATTGTAATATAAAATATTGTGATGCTGCTCTAATCGATATACTTCATGGTGGTGTAAGAAAAGGTCTTTCATGACATTGTGTTATCGCATTACTAGCATATCTTAACACTGGAACAATCAACACATTTAGGACCTTACACAGTGTGGCTGGAAGATAATGAAGCACACTTATCTTATTTTGCAAGCAGATATGACTTACTGGGTTGTATGGTATATTTTAGAGCATTAATAAAGGGATCAAATTTCTTATTTGCAGACTCTGACTCCTGAAATGAAAGAATAAAATGTTCAAGTTACTTAGCAAGCTGAAATCACATTTTTGTCAAAGTTGGGACAACAGACATTAGATTTTTTGATTCAAATAGATGAGGGTGCTTAAATTTAAAAGGGCATTCAATCACTTCCTGGAAAATGACGATGCACAGAAGGCTCTAGATGGTGGATTGAAGCATTGGTTTCCTGATGACAGAGGCAGTTCTCTGAAACGCACTGGAACCATAAAGTTAACGGAGGGATTTATATTTCCAATTCTGAACCTTTTGTACCTTTTACGCAATAGAAGAGAATAGAGTTTTAAACTCTAACCTTGTTAAAAGGTTTATTGCTCTCTGTTACTTTTGATCTACAAAGCTGCGGACAATGCCATTTCCAAAAAAAAAAAAATTTAATCTCAGTTATCACCACATTAAAACTGCCCTTTGTATAGTTACTCGTTAACTAATTGCACATTCTGGTGAATACTTAGTTTTACCAAATTTGTTTAACTAGTTGGATGTACCCTAATGCGCAATTCTTGGCCATTTATTTGTTTATGTTTTTAAATATTAGCTAAATGGAGATCACTGTAGTATGTGTTTACTTTAAAATGTGCAAAATTCTGATGCCAGTTGATCAGATCTCATTGAAAATCCCTGATTGCGTGAATACTTTGGGATCAAACCCAGAATTTGAGACATCTTTGCAATTATTTAACCGTGACTACATTTTCATAAGATGAATGCTAGTCCAGAACAACAAATTGCCAGTTGTCCAGATTCCGTGCATACTGTTAATTTTTGACCTTTCATATTACCCCATACCCATTTTCATCTTACTAATATTTTAGCTTCAACTTTAAGCTGATCTCCACTTTTTTTAAAATTGCCAAATGAACAAATAAAATCACCTGAAAGAAAAATCCAAGAACAGCCACGCCTGTGCGGTCTCTTACAGCCTGGGACAAAGAGACATATTCTTCTTTTATGTGGACAATATGCATCTGTGGATGGCATAAAATAATTCATTATATAATTTATCTGAATAGTGTGCACAAATGGCTACATCACATGTAGTCCAGATTCTGACACACCTCCATCTCCATATTTCTTACCTCCATTGGAAATTGTTCTCCATCAACAGTGTGTTCAGACCCTGGCCCTGCATCTTGGCCCCAATGCAGGTGAAGTTGGTATGCCTTGTATGGTACAGCCAGATTTCCTCCCATGAGCCTCATACTGGAGGGCAAATCCAGTTGAACTAGAAAAACAGTCAAGTCATAATTTAAGAATTCTGGCAAACACCATCACCAGATGATGTTTGCCTGAATGACTGAAAAAAGGATTTGGGAATTTTTATGCAGTGGACATTTTAAAACATTAATGTTCTGCAGCCTCTTCATGTTTAAGTATCTCAGCTTTTGCGCATTTAATATTTTGGGAGTGGTTTTTTTTGTGTGTTTTTTTTATTAAACCTGAGGACATGAGGGCTGCAGATTTTTTTTCTTTGCAAATAGCCATTTTGCCACATCTTACACCATGTGATCATTATTTCAGTGGATTACAACTGGAGGCAAGTGCCTTATCAGAATATTACAGCCAGTTCAGTCGACACTAAAACTCTAAAGTTAAATGGATAATTAGGTAGAACTAAAAAAAATTAACCTACTAGAAATAGGCTAATGCATTCTTTCAAATGAAAAAAAAATAATTCCCTCCCGGCATAGTTAGATTGTCATTCAGTGGTTGACACTCAGCTGTGTTATATTGCAGTTTTGTAGTTAAAGTTATTTAATATTCAGTGTTTTATTTTGAACATACAGTTGAATGGACCCCAGTCAGAAATGACAATGGGGATCCTAATTAAGTAAAAGTTTTCCAATAAAGAGATGTTGCACAAATGTTTGTGCATGTTGTACATCATAGTTCTTGGAAAGCAAGAAAATCGGAATCAGCCAAAAATTGGAATTGGCAGGTTAGACCTTTAACAAAACTCTGTAAATCAGAATCAGCCAGGAAAATTGCAATCACCGCATCTTTACTGAAGAGTTGTGTTGGTGCCGTAAAACATTACTCCATTGTTGTCAAACATTTCCTGGCTGGGATTTCAATGGCAGGGAGTGTGGGACAGTGACAGATGCCATTCAAGTCAGTGTACCATCAAAATTATTTTAAAACTGTTATTTTAAGATAAAATTACTACATAATTTTGACTTAAGTCTTTCAGAAGCACATTGTCTTTTTACAAAATAAATCTGCAATAATCACAAACACATACCACTTTGACCATTGTTTATGAGGTGACCATTAAAAGTGTCTTGATAGCCAATGAATTGAAAAGGAGTGAGACGTTCATCTGGTAGCACTCTCCCTGTAACAATGTTAACTGGAGACTGAGCTCTGCCGCTGCACTGTTTTGAAACCACTCCCCATAGGTCTGGACCTGTGAAGACAAGAGGATAGGACAAAAAAAAAACCCCAAAAAACAAAACAAAACTGCACTACTACATATTTTTATTTTTGTTGAAACTGTTAATGTCAGTGACTTGTCTTGATGTTTACCTTTGCAGGTTTCATTGCATGTAACTTGGGACTGATAGCACCAATCTACAAGAACAGGTTTTAAATAAGTAATTTAACAGAAAATAAATAACAACAAGAAGAAATACAAGCCCACGGGTGAGAAACAATTCCCAAATAGTTTGGGAATTAGTTAAATAACATTCAATGTGATGCAACTTATTGACAAACAAAACACCACAAATGCAAAAAAAAATGCCTGTGTAGATTTTTCAAGTGTGTCTAATTTGACAGAATTTTAATCAATAAGTTTCTTTCTTACCTGCCCCTGAGACAACCTTCACGGAAGACGCAAACAAAAATAACACAGCTGCAAGCAGCATTGTAAATTGTAAGTCTAGTCCCAATCTGCCTGCACTGAACTTTTCAGGAGATGATGCCACAAACAGAATTCAAACACCCAGTTATAAGACAGGTAGACCCATCAATCAATCAATCAATCCCTCCCACGCCGCATGCATTGGTTTTATGAGTCTTAATTCTGTTACCACTGACACATAGCCAACACTTATACCTGAAGACTGATATATTCAAAAGGTAATGAGCGGACTCTTGACCAGGCGTGCTGTGGTAAGCGTGTAAAGAGAAGATTAGCATGGCCCCCTCTTTTATAAACGTGTTGTCTCATTGCTGGACCCCGGAGCGTGTTCCTGCTCAGTGCATGCTCTATCTTAATACAGTAAATTTTGTGAAGATTCTTTAGTACAACTGCAAGTTATCCGCTATTAATTTAAACTTAATTAGTTCTGCTTCACCACCCACAGCTTTATGACTCGTTTAACGACTCTTGCTAAATCCTACAGGTGTTTACACGGTCGCTTTAGCTTTGGAGCTAGCGATGGCTTCTCGCTTTCCCTCTCTCTCTTGTTCGGTGTGCCACATTTTTAGCTATAATTCCTCTGACTCCTTTTACTCAAACTACTTAAATGTGCAGGTGTACATGGATTTTTTTAATGCAAAACGCTGTCCCGTCTTCTTGCGCATAGAGCAGCTGCGCCCATGCCCATTGGATCGGGTTGCCAGGTTGCAGTGACCGGTTGGTTTCCTAGACAATCTGGCAATTTTGGTCACTAACGTTCAAAACCTGGATTAATGTATGGCACTTATAATAAAGTTTGAGGGCTGTACAAATCATGGGAGTTTCCCAGGAGAGCCAACAAAACGGGAGGACGCCGAAGGATTGTAAGTATGGAAGAAACCCGGGAAAATGGGAGTGTCAGCAGGGATGCATGCATTTCGCTTTTTAAATTGTAAGTAAAAGAGGGGGCGTGGCCTAACGTTTGCAGGCAGAGTTTAAAGCCAGATCACTTTTTTTAGATGGCTTCAACAAGATTAAAGTTTTGGAACATTTCTGTCCAGTTGGCCTCACACAAAAAGTACCAGTAAAGGAGTGCAATCGGTCTGACAGCGGCAAAGCAGCGCACAGTGCAGCAGGTAAGAGGCATTAGAGACTAGCCTAGGCTAACGTTACCTGTTGTTTGCTGGTATGCATGACTGACGTCACAGAAGGACTTTGCTAACGTTAATAGCTACAATAATCAGGCACTGGCAAGTAACGTTAGGGTCCAACATGCTCTGAGAAAAACAAAATCTTGGTTCTGCCAGGGGAGCTGGTTAAGAAGACCAGTGACCTCATTTATAAAACAGTGCGGTAGAACCCATACTAAAGGTGTAGGCGCAGGTAACCTTCCCTTTATAAATCATACTCCGTCTGGAAATGTGCGCACGTGGATCAGCTTCATATCCAGCCCTCTACATGCCCACATTCAGCCATAAATGGTCATGCAAAGCACCTCATCGATATTGACGTGAATGAGTCTGCTTACCGTGATTCTCAGAATCAGCTTTATTTGCCAGGTATGTGGCCCTACATATGAGGAATTTCACTCGGGATTGTACATTGCTCAGGATGTGCTTATTCATACAATAATACAATCAGACACAGGCTACAGTATAGAGAACTATACAGATTGACAAATAGTACAATGAGCAGAGTACAAAGGATGCAGGAATAAATTATTATTATAATTATTATGTACATGTCAGAGGTGGATGTTATACAGGTACACATACATACATACACAGTTATACATTGCGATGGAGCATAGTGCAAAGGATGCTGGAATAAATAAGTTATAATGTGCAAGTGTTATGTACTTGAGATAGGTGGATTTGGAATACAGTATATACAGTATGACAATATAACAATATGAACCGTATGAACAGCACTGAAATAGAGAATGATGAATAAATAATAAGTGGTAGCCAGTAAACAGGTGGCTGATTAGAGACAAGAGTTACTCGCTGTTTAGAATGGTGATGGGGGGCAGAGTGGGGTCCTATCCATGATCATCTCCACAGTTTTGAGCGTGTTAAGCTCCAGGTTGTTCTGGCCGCACCAGAGAGCCAGCTGATCAACCTCCCATCTGTAGGCTGATGAGGCCGATGACCGTTGTATTGTCAGCAAACTTCAGGAGTTTGACATAAGGGTCTCCTGAGATGCAGTGTTTGTGTAGAGGGAGAAGAGCAGTGGGGAGAGCACACACCCCTGAGGGGAGCCAGTGCTAATAGTCCGGGTGATGGATGTGATGTTCCCCAGCCTCACCTGCTGACTCCTGTCAGTCAGGAAGTTTGAGATCCACTGACAGGTGGAGGCTGGCACAGTGATCTGGGTGAGTTTGGTGCTGAGGATGTCCAGGATGATGGTGTTGAACGCCGAGCTGTTCACAAACAGGATCCTTGCATATCTCCCTGGATAGTCGAGGTATTGCAGGATGTAATGCAGTCCCAAGTTGACAGCATCATCCACTGACCTGTTAGCCCTGTAGGCAAACTGTAGGGGGTCCAGCAAAGGGGCCTGTAATGTCTTTCAGGTGTGCCAACATCAATCTTTCAAAGGACTTCATGACTACAGATTTCAGGGCGACAGTCCTGTAATCATTTAATCCAGAGATGGAGGGTTTATTGGGGACCAGGATGATTGTGGAGCGTTTAAAGCAGGAGGGAACTTCACACAGCTCCAGTGATCTGTTGAAGATCTGTGTGAAGATGGGGCCAGGTGGTCTGCACAGATTTTCAGGCAGGATGGTGACACACTGTGTGGGCCAGATGGTGTCTGGTGTCTGGCAGCACCAACAACAGAAAATCGAGGCGCTTATGAGCACGTATTTTGTTGATGCAGCGTGTTCGAAAACAAAATAAAATGCAGCGATTTTAGAAAGGTAAACACATATTGTTGATCATAATAAACCTATTAAACATACACTTGTCGGCAAATTCCCACTACTAACAGCCAGCTGCCAGAAACTCCATAGTAGGCTAGTATTTGTTCTGGGATGGTACAGTTCTGTTGGATTACGGCTGTCTAATGCTGGACTCTGCATACAGATCCAAGAGTGCACGGCTCTAGGGAATCTAAATCGATGTATTGGCCAATAATCATCATGGGTCAAATTACAACTAACCTTCTAATTACATCTGAAAAAGACTTGCCTCTGTACTGGTCTTGTTAGATCTTAGTGCTGCATTTGATACCATTGACCATCACATCCCAATATAGAGAACATTTAATTGGCATAAAGGAACCGCACTAAGCTGGTTTAAGTTCTATTAATCAGATCGCTCTCAGTTTGTACATGTTAACAATGAGTCCTCACTGCACGCCAAAGTTGGTCACGGACCGTCTGACCTATTCTATTCACCTAATACCTCCTTTAGGCAATATTATTAAGAAACACTCCATAAACTATCATTGTTATGCCGATGATACCCAATTATTATTGATCAACCAGATGAAACCGATGAAACTTCAAGCATGCCTTAAGGACATAAAAACCTGGATGACCTGCAATCAGAAACCTCGCGAGAGCGTAACTGAAAGCTGTCATCAAGAAGGCGAAGTGGAGACATCAGCAGAGATTGGAGAGAGACCTCAACACCAACATCACCACAGATTTGTGGCATGCGATCAAAAACATCACAGGCTACAAAAGCATGATGCCACCTTACCAGATGAGCTAAACACATTTTATGCTCCCATGAAATTCCTCATCAAAGAACTGGAAAGTCTACTCCTCCTCCAGAGGACAGGCTACTGTCGAGATCCACTGCAGATGTGAGAAGAGTCGTAGTAATGAGCAAATCAGCTGGGCCTGATAACATCCCTGGCCGTGTACTAAAACATGTACCATTCAGCTAGTTGATGTTATTACTGACATTTCAAACATATCACTGTCAGAGGAGAGGGTTCCCATCTACTTTTAAGACAGCCACCATCATCCCTGTACCTAAAAAGTCTGCAGCGTAGTATGAACGACTACCGCCCTGTGGCACTCACTCCCATTCTGAACTGGTTCGCCAGCACATAAAGAACAACATCCCAGTCAGTCTGGAGCCTCAGTAGTTTGCTTTCAGAACAAACAGATCCACAGAGGATGCCTTCTCCACTGCCCTCCACTCTGCCATCACACATTGAGGAAAAACAACCCCTACATCAGAATGATTTTAAACTCCGCATTCAACACCATCCTCCCCCATTAAACTGATTGGCAAACTTAGCACTCTGGGCTTTAGTATTGCCCTCTGCATCTGTGTATTGGACTTCCTCCAAACAGACCTCGGATACTTAGGATTGGCAGCTAGTGCACAACACCGGAGCCAAAAATGTACCTAGAACAATTGCTGTGAAGGCAAAGGGTGGTCAAATCAAATATTTTCTTCTGTTTTTACTCACTTTGCATTTTGTTAATTGCTAAAAAAATAATCCATTAACATGACTATCGTTGAAAGCATTCTTTATTTACAGCATTTTTTCCACACCTGCCTAAAACTGCACATTACTATAAAACGTTTGCTCTAGCTCTAGTAAGTAGCATAAAAGGAACGACACACTTGATGTCATTATACAACCCTGTGTTGTAAAATGACAAATGTACCTTGTACCTTGTAATTTTCTGGGGTTAAACTCAAGACAAAAAGTTATTGCACCTCCGTAACACATTATCTAAAGATATCGTAAAGCCCCCGACATACTTGCTTTTTAACAATGTGTAGGTGTAGACCGGCAGCTGCGACGCAAACGGCATTGTTCACATACTTGTCTGCGTTCTTTGCGTGAACCTGGAGGATTAAATGTGAATCCACTAGGGGGCAGATCAGGGCCAAATCCTCCCTCGATGACACCGGATTATCTTCTTTGACAACCTGCGAATTTGCACAACGTAAACAAACAAAACATAGCGAAACCTCGAGGAGGTTATGATTTTAATGGGACATCCTAACGATCTTGGTAATTGAGGACTAGCTCCAGGAGTTTTATTGTAAACATCCAGCCATAAATTTCCTTTTTTTTAAGTCTGTGTGGAACAGGAGTTTGCTGCTGACCTGCCTATCAGATCGACATACTGCCCCCACGTTCATGTGCTGAATTGCATCTTGCAGACACGTAGCGTTCATTTCTGGAGACATGCACAACCTACGCTCCAAAGGAACGCAGGATACACGTGGTGTGGCATCTTGCATATGTGAACGCGTAGTTACATAATTATAATTAAGTATGTCCAAGGCTTTACTCTAGATTCCATTGTCCTGGCTTCCAGCACCACCATAAAGAATCACAAAGTTATCTTTGTTTGAGATATGTCCTTAAACCCCACATAAAACAAACTTCAAGGCCTGCTATTTTATATTGCAAAAATCAGGAACATCCTATCTCAAAATGATGCAAGATACTAGTCTATGTGTTTGTGACCTCTAGGCAGGATTATTGCAATTCCTTATTATCAAGTTCCCCAAATAAGTATCTTTTTAGACTTTCCACTTGATTCAGAATGCTGCTGCAAATGTACTGTCAAGAACTAGGAAAAGCGATCATATTTCTCCCATATTGGCTTCACTGCATTGGTTCCCTGTAAAATCTAGCATATAATTTAAAATCCTTCTCCTCTGACCCACAAAACCCTTAATGGCCAGGCACCATCATAATAACAGTTTTTAAAAGGTGATTATATGTTAATGTTGTATTCACAACTTGGTTCCGCTGGCCTCAAAAAATCTGTTATGCAGGTTTAAGAGAAAAAGACAGTGCTTGTTTTATTATGGACACTGAATAGTATTTTAGTGTATGGTGAACTCAATGTTTGGTTCC